TGATAACAAGTGCTACTCTTAAATATTTAAATAGTCATGATTTACTTTTAAGTATTAAAAAGTATTACTTGCTTTACATTTCCTTTTTTTTTTTGGTACTGGGTATCAAACTCGGGTCCTTTAGCTTGCGCAGCAGGCGGTGAAACCACTGAGCGAAATCCCCAGCTATATTTTTCTGTTTCATTAAATTTTTTATTGCTGAGAAAATAACAGATGCTATTTTTAGCTTTGTGATCTTTCAGCTTTCCTCGGAGTAGGGGAAAATTTGCAGGCAAGGCAGAGTGTTTCTTGACCACCTGATTATTTACTGTTGTATCTTGACCTGCACTTGTTGCTATGGTTGTGTCTTGGTGTCTCTAAGGACACTGCCCCCAGTGCAGCACCTTTCTTGACTTTTGCCCAAGGTCATTACAAAGAACGCTCATTAGTGATATTTGAACATGGGTCACAGAGGACCTACTCATTTATTTATTTAGTTTCAGGTTGGGCAAATAAATCAAAATTAAGTCATATTAGTATATAATGCCCTCACTCTGTCCAGAGAAATCATAATATTGACACTTTGAAAGCAAGACAATACTTAAAACATTTTCTTTTCAACCAGAAGAGAACTAAAAAATATTTACTAGCCAAAAAAGGGATCAAAGTTCCTTTCCAATGTATTGGAGATGAAAAACTTTCTTCCCTCCTCAAGAACAGCCATGATAAATGGAAAAGGAAATCATGTACTGAGACCAAAAAAATCCCATATAAACTTTGCTGTTCTCTTCCTCAAATTTGCCTTTAGGACTCTTGTCTAAGAATCAACTGATGCTGCTGCTAACTCTTGAAAGAGTAAGTACAGTGGCTTTCTCATTTTATGTCTTATTTGGTAAATCTGATTTTCTCTGATAATTTATCTGATATTGACAAAATACATTGTCCTCACACTTTTGTCAAATATAAAAATTTGACAGATGCAAGTATTCTGTTAAATTTTCTATAAACTTACATTAAAAGATTGTTAATGAATAAATGAATGAAGGATATTTTGGAATAAGGGCTAGCATACAGAGGGTGCAGGAACAAGCATGTTACCAGGTAATAGCTCTAGGAGCTACTGGTTCAGGAGAAATTTATTGGGAACAATAAGGAGGCTGGAAAGAGTATTCTTCCCTTCAAGTAAAATTATCCACTGTAGTTATTACAGTGTGACCCTTATCTCCTAGGAATGTTGTAAGTCTTCAAAGAAAAGTTGTTGGTTCTCCTTCCCAATGATGGTGACAAACAAATCTTGTGATTTAACTGCATTAACTACTCATAGAATTAAGCAATTCAACTCTGATCTCTTGAGAAAGTGGCTATTTTGCAGGAACAAATGGCAGCCACTCATCTAACATGTTAATTGAATTTTTAGAAAAATGGAAAACACTAAAATGCACATAAAGTAAGTAAAAATATTTACAATATATTTTAAGATTAATAGCATGTGAATTGCATATTAACATATGAAAATTCCTTGTCTTCTTATTTGCATACAATACTAACAGATGCTTCGAGAAAGCAAAAATTGTCACCAACAAAGACACAACTACTTATCTGCTCCAGAGATAAAACAAGGAGATGTCAGTTAACATTTTACTCACCATGGAAGGTGATAACATAAGCACAGAAGGTATGATTTCATGATATATGTTTATTCACCAGCCAAACTCTTGTTCCAAACAAAAAATATGTTAAATAAGACACATAGAACTTGAATAATTAAAATCAATCACAAAGCAGTTTGAAAATGAAGCCCATTCCCTTCATCTCTTGACCCCTTCCCCCTTAGACAAAAGGAGGAAGGAGAAAGAGAGAGAATGAAAAAAGGAATTTGGATATGTTATGTACATGTACCAACTTCCCACAAGGAATGTAAACATTATGTATGGTAAGCATGTAGTAATAAACTAAAATAATAAATAAAAATGAATAAATGAAGAGAAAATGAAGCCCAATTATGGTACAAGCAAACTTTACAAGTGTGTGCCAACAATTCAGATATGGATGGGTGTTTTGCTGTTGTTTGTTTATGTTGTTTTGTTTTGTATTGTCCTGCAGTACTGGAAATTGAATGCCAGTACTTTTTTTTTTTTTTGAGACAGTGTCATTCTGAATTGCCCAGGTTGGCCTGAAATTTATCTTCCTTCTCAGTCTTCCACAGTGCCAGGATTATAGGTGTGTGCCTACACACCCACTTAAATATGTATACTCTCATAGACCAATACTTCCTACAGCTAGCTATAAATTTAGAGGAACATTGGTTTGCGTAGCTATCTTTGTGACAATACCCCTAGATTTCAACTAATTCTTTTTCTCAGAAAAAGTGATAAAATGGAAATGGCCATTACTTGTCACAGAACAGAAAGGAGCAGTCAGACACAGCAGAGTTAAAAGGTCCAAAGGGAAAGGGAAAGTGGGAGGGGTGGGGGAAAGGAAAGAAGGGAAAGGAAAAAAATATGAGAAAAGGAAAAAACAGAAACAAAGTCTTTGTAAATAGGGAGGGGTGGGAGGGGTTGAAGGGAGGGCAGGGGAATGAGGAAAAAAATAAGAACAAAGATATGTCATGTAAAGGTACAAATTCCCAATGATGAATGTCATTATATTGTATACCTAAAATGTACCAATAAACTTAATGAAAAAAGCAATGACTAGATCGATAATCACAAGTAAGTAGGTATACGCAGGTGGTATATGAAGAGTAGATTTAATATTTTAAATTTTAGTTTGAACTTGATGGTAGTGATAACTAGGTGTTAGAGAATCTTTCATGCTTAACTAAACAGTCTGAAAGCATAAAATAAATATAGTTTTTTCCCTTATTTATTGGTGGATCAAACATTTCATCTGCAGCCAACTGTATAACCCAGTGGACACCGCATAAATTACACACAAGCTGAGAAATCTAAGGTGAATCAGAAGAATAAGACAACAGCATTGAAGTTGGATCTTAAAGCACAAAACAAACCACAGAAAGGCATGCTTGATCATAGTGGGAAAATATGAAATGCAAATGAGAGATGGTTCAAGCCAGCTTGAGCATGGAATCTACATGAGTTATGATATATTTAAATTCTATTAAAGACCATGTCATATAGAATAGATGAGAAAAAAATGCTACATGAACTATTCATCTTTAAATTACTGAAAGAATCTTAGACATAAAAAGAAATAAGAATTTTGGGCAATCACAAGATGTTTTAAGTCAAATCTAATAACATGGAGAAATCCAGTAGGATATAATTACAAATGTAGAGGAAAATTGGAAAGCTAAAAGAGTTTCTTTAAATATGTTTAAAATTTTATCATAAACTGTCAAAACAATAGGCTAAAACAAATAATTCTGTAGCCAAGGCTGCAAATGTATTGACAATATTCATTGCTACTTATAGAAGTTTCTGTATGAGTTTGCTGTCTAGTAGTTGCTGCTTATACACTATTTCTCCAGCTTTCAGACTACTGTTTTCAAGTAAAATATCTCTACATTTTATAGAAAGTCTGATAAAATTCACTTGTCAGTGATGAAAAACCACACAATTACAACATTCATTCTGTTGGGACTAACAAATGACCCTCAACTTCAGATTCCAATTTTTGTTTTTCTATTTTTCACATACATGTTGAGCATAACTGGAAATCTTACGATCATATTTCTCACTTTATTTGACTCTCATCTTAAAACACCCATGTACTTCTTTCTACAAAATTTTGCTTTAATAGAAATTTCATTTACATCTGCTTGCATCCCTAGATATTTGTACAACATAGCAACAGGTGATAGGTCAATTACATACAGTATTTGTGTCATTCAAGTGTTTTTTACAGATATTTTTGGAGTAATAGAATTCTTTCTTCTGGCCATAATGTCCTGTGACCGCTACGTGGCCATCTGCAAGCCCCTGCATTATATAACCATCATGAACAGAAGAGTCTGTAGGAGCCTTGTCCTCTGCTGTTGGCTGGCAGGCTTGTTGATCATACTCCCACCACTGACCCTGTTCCTAAATTTGAAATTCTGTAACTCAAATATTATTGATTATTTCTTCTGTGATGCATCTCCTATCTTGAAGATTTCTTGCTCAGACACTTGGCTCATAGAGCAGTTAGTGATTGTCTGCGCTGTTCTGACCTTCATTCTGACGCTCATGTGTGTTATTCTGTCCTACATTTACATCAGCAAGACCATTCTAAGATTCCCCTCTGCCCAGCAACGAAAGAAGGCCTTTTCCACCTGCTCTTCTCACGTGATTGTGGTTTCCATCACCTATGGGAGCTGTATCTTCATCTATATAAATCCTTCAGCAAAGGAATCCGTGGCCATTAATAAAGGTGTGGCAGTGCTAATGACATCCATTGCACCTGTATTGAACCCGTTCATTTACACTCTAAGAAACAAGCAAGTTAGACAAGCCTTCACTGACTCATTCAAAAAATTTGCTTTGGTCACAAAGAAAAAAGAGATTGGTTAAGTATAGAAATAAAATATCAACTAATCAAAGCCCATTAAACTCCATCTTTGTCTTCTTGATCTGATCTCTATTCAGGTTAACTTTCTCAAACATTTCTTGCTCCCAGAATCAATTTTTTTCTTGCTCTCTCACATAAATTCATTCCTTTAATCCCCCATAAGCAAACCTCTTTAAGGATAAGTTCCCCCCAAAAGAATAATATTTTAATTCATATATGCCTAATTTTACTTCCAATCTTGAAAATAAACCAAAATAAGACAAAATCCAACAAACAAGAAATAACATCTTAAACATTCTTGAACTTCTAATAAAATAATTAATTTAGTTCTCATTACCTCTTCAGGTACAAATGTTGCTGGTAGTTTTTAAAAATTAAATTTTTGAAATGCTCAGTTTTTAGCACTCAGCAGAGACAAAAAAATTATAATATACCTGAAATTACCTAGCTGCCTAATAATCCTCCAAACTAATGATTTTTTTAAATCACCACTACCAATGAGTGAATTGATATACCTAAACAGTAAATAAAAATGAATCCATGTACAGATAGATATGTTTTAAATAGAAGCAGAATTTATACATATGTATACATTTATTGCAAAACTACTGAAATTTTAGAGTTAAAAGTTTCACAGATTATACAAACTAAATAACATAAGTGAAGATTAAGAGAAAAGCTCTTTTCTAGTAGGATATGAAATTACAAGTACAATGTCAAAATATTAATTGCAGTTAAAATTAATGTATTAAGAATGGAAGAAAAAGAATGGAGAACACATTCAATTGCTAAAATAGAAAACAAATACCTTAAATTAAAATGTAGCTAAATAAAGCAATGAATTTTTGTATAATATGGAAACATTTTTAATACATATTGATATAGAGGGAAGAGATGTGAAAGAAAATGAGCTGAAACAGGAGCACCGGAGGCAAGGCTTTTTTGGAGGAAGGAGCTACTGGGCTGCCTCAAACAATGGCAAGAGAAAGCAAGATTAACTGGGGTGAGGTTTATATAGGGCAGTGCAGTGGGGAGAGTATCATGAGAGGAGAGAATTGGTCGGATTGTTGGGCAGGCAATGGGACGCCAGGTGATTCGAAAGGGAGGGTCACACGGGTAGTAGGGTGGAGAAACAAGTTAGGTTTTGCTTCTCCAGAGGGGATAGGTTTCACTTTTCTGAAGTGGCTTATTTCAGTAAGTGGGAACCAGTTTAAGAACAGGAGCCATTTTAGAATATAGGACCATTGGGGCCATTTTTTCTGGTAGAGAACTCTGTTAATCCAGACTCTTGTTATTATGGAATGGGGCAAAGCTACTTTTCAGTAGCTGCTTCCTTCTGGCAAAGGAGCATTGTTGAATGGGGTCTTTAGACAGCCGAGGTGAGGTCCCAGTTTGGTGAGCTTGCATCAGTGGTGAGGGGCTGGTATCAGGCCATGATGAGCTGGCCAACTGTCTGGTTTGTGAAGGCTCTCGTGTTCCTGCAAGAAATTTTGAAAACAACAAAACAGGCAGGGTCCAAAAAGCAAGATCATGCAGACAATAGTGAGAGGTCCTAAGAAAGGTATGAGCCAAGGAAGCCATTGTTTAAAATATCCTGACAAAGGATGTTGGGTTTCTAGATCTTGTCTGCACTTTTCTATGTGTTTCCTCAGTTTTCTAGCCTTGTTGCCTATGATGCCTGCCTGATTTACAAAGTAGCAGCATTCTTCTCCCAGCAAGAGACAGGTTCCCCCTCTTTCTGCTGTGATTATGTCCGGAGCATGCCTGTTTTGAAGTACCACAGCTGCCAGTGAATTGATCTGTGATTGTAGGGTGACCAAGGAGTCTGCCACCTTTTCCATATCCTCATTTAGCTCCTGAGATACGGAGTAATAGAAGTGTGTTGATGTTGAAATTCCCATGACCCCTGTACCTATTCCTGTCAGAACTCCAGCTCCCATTAGGAAAGGGAGTGTAGGAAGGGCACGCTTGTTAAAATGGTGGATATTGGTTTAAAAAATGTCTAGCACATTTGTGTTGATATTATCTGTATGATCATTTTTAATTTGGCATCCTATAGGCAAGAATAAATAAGATTTTTTAAGAAATTAGAGCATGAAAATCTTAGCATGAGCACACTAGAATGGAAGGGCAGGTTGGGGAGAAAGTCACTTAGATACTGAAATAGTGAGTGATTGTAACCTGCTGGCTCTTAGATTCTTTCATTGATAAAGGTTATCTGTAAGTCTGATACTTTGTCATAAGTCTCTCTAGTTTTAGCTATAAGAAGATCAGAGAAAATTTGAAGAACAAATCTCACTAAGAAATTTAAAAGTTTAGCTGAGCTCTTATAGATTTTACTATAGTTTTTCCTAATGATCCATAAGCATGGTCAGCTACTGGGAGAACTGGAAACTGCCAGAAGGGGTCAGTGACTGGAGCCCCTTTTCATATGTAGCTTTATTACTGTGGCATTATTTTATACCTCTTTTGCTTATTCTTTTCTGCTGGGTGTTTAAGACCAAGTTAAAGTGAGACCTGTGTCAATCAATATGAACATCAAGGTCAGTTAAGTCTCTTCAGGCATTATTTTGGAACCATGCATAGAGCCTCTCAGCTCCTCTGTCAGTTTCAGCTGTCTGGATGAGTCAAGGCCTTGCTTGACCATGTTGCTTTCAGTGAAAACATGGGAAATTTTTCCCTCTTTGTAACCTTCCTTTGGCACATGGTACATTTGTCCTCTGGTGTCCAGCAGTCTCCCTGCTCAGGAGGTTGGGTGACTTACCAAAGATGTAGAATCCTGTACAAAAGTTTCCCTCATGTCCTGGATTCTTTGTTGACCTTAAAGGGCTAGGGCCAAAGTATTGGCAGTCCTCTTAGCCCAGTTACCTTTCTAGTTTTGGTCTCCAAACTTTAGTTGTTGAACATCCAAAAGAGAAGATCAGTTACATTAGTAGTGCAGTAGGAGCAGTGAGCTTAGCTATTATAATTTTACCTGGATAGCAAGCATTTTGGAATCTAAAATATAGTTAGAGGACTATTATATTTATCAATCAAGGTTGTTTTAGTAGTTGATTTCTTGTAGAATATTGACAGAAAAATCTTTGAATCAAGAGCCACACATAATAATAATAATAATAATACTTTAGCATGACAATCATGATGACATTTTTTTGTAACAAACTTAGAGATGTATCTTGGTACAAAATAGCCATTGTTAAAGGCACTCACTCCCCTCCAAAAACACATAAAAACAGGAAACTTGTAAGTTATTACCTTTTTATAGGATGCCATCTAAGGAAAATGTATGGGCCTATAAATGTACCTGTTATTGTGAGTAGCTGGAGCAGAAGAGAAGGGCAAATACCTGGATCAAAAGGAGATTATTGCCATAAACAATATGTTGGAAGACCTGTACAGACAGAAAACATGAATACATTTTTTACACCAGAAAAGTGGCAATAATAATTATTGCAATAATAATTATTACATTTATATGAAACCTTATGCCCTGTAACGTAGCTTGGTACCAAAAGGATCTTTTTAATAACACCTTGTTTTTCCCACAGAAAATTTTATATTTTGAAGATGACCAATATAAACATATCACAATAGCATATTTAGAAATCAACCCTTTGACGACAACCAATGCAAACATTTTATAACAACATATTAAATGATGTTTATTGGGTGTATGTCTTCCCATAAGGCCATGAAAATTATTGGGGCTCCCATTAGTGAACAAAGATCAGAAATAACTGTTTTCTGAGCAGCTGTTTTTTTATACATCAAGGGGAGTCCCATCATCCAGGACCTCCCCAAACCTAAAAGTTTTTATTTAATTATCATGACATTTTCTTTTTATATAACCTGTAAAAACCAGATTGTGACAATTAACAATTTATTTGTAACCAATAAAAAATATGTGTACTTTTTGAGTTATACAATGTAGACAACAATTTGCATTACAATCAAAATTCATTTTTTATGTCATTTTGATCAGCTAGCAACCTGGGAGAAAAGGAAGGCATGCCTTTAATAACATTTATCAAAAATACAATTGGACAAACACAAACAATTGGACAAACACAGACAAACATAAGACAATTTCTGAAACTAGAGTGCACTCAAATATATTTGGCCAATTGGATTATAACATCTCTTAAGACGAGTCAAAACTTTTGTAAGTCAATTAACAGAGATCTCTTGTAATTAGAATTAGAAGGAATAAAACAACATTATAACAGTAGCATAATCTTCTTACAGTTATTGTCAGCAGTCTGTAAGCAAAAAGTAGAGAGGTCAAGTTAATCCTATAATTACAATTGAAGAATTTCCAATGTAAAAGAAATGCTTTAAATACGTCAATTACACATCTGGAAACTAAACACCAATTAAACATCAACTTAAATTGGAGATGAAAGATACATTTGTCAATTAGCTGAAATTCATAATCTGATTTTTTATTTTTTTAAGTTTCCCCTGCCCAGCAGAGGATCACAGCTGATTTTAATATGGAGCAAGCAGTCTGTAGCAGGCACTGGGCTGGAATCTAGCATTTGGTCTTTGAGCTCCAATCATTTTTTTTTCTTAAATTCTTTTATTGGTACATTTTAGGTATACAACACAATTACATTTCTCATTGGGAATTGTACCTTACATAATGCATCTTGGTTCTTATTTTTTCCCCATTCCTAGCCCTACCTTCACCCCATCCACCCTTTCCTATTTAGAAAGACTTGATCTCCTTTTTTTAAATTTCTCATCATTTTTCCTTTTCCTTCTTTACTTTCCCCTGCCCTTCCCAATACCCCTACCCCTTAGGAACTTTTCTTCCTATTTTGCATTATCGATTATTCATTCTAATCATTGGTACATTTTAGGTATACAATATAATGACATTCATCATTGGAAATTTGCACCT